TTTTTACTCATAAAACCATCTCTTTTATGCAGCTAAAAGTTAGCTTGGTATAAAGTGGAGCTAATGGGCCAACAAAGATCAAGTTAAGGACAAATATACAGCATATATAAAATTGTTTTTAAATGCCTGATGGTACAGTTGAAAAATATAAAGACTAATGAAACTAAAATGTCCTTTTTAGTTCAAAAATATAAAATAAATTAATGCTGAACAAAAATGTTACAAGAGATTCACCAGTTTTCTTCCCTGAAAAGATTATCTCTAAAGAAAATAGGAAAACAGCTTTCTATTCCACTCCCACAAAACAAGATATTAATTTCATAATTTTGAGACAATACACCTTTTTTCAATTGCGACTTCATTAATGTTTTTAAAACAATTTTCCTAAGTGGATATTACGCAAGAACTCTTACTCTGCAATTGTGGAGTCACAAAACCAACGACTGGGATCATGAGTGCCTCCTGCCATAAGGCAAGAAAATTACCTGGCTCACCTTGAATTTGTTCTCTGCCATTTATGATCGCTCCTCAGCACACGAAACACTGTTCATTATATAAATAAGCTAGCTAAATTATGAAAAATTAGTTCATATATTAAATGTTTTTTAACCATTTTATTAGCAACATACTGACTAGTGCTGTAGTCAAGACCACCTAACTCGAGACTAAGTCGAGGCCAAGACCAGAGTGCATCGAGACCAAGACAAGACCAAGACTTTTAGGGTTAGAGACCAAGTCGAAACCAAGTTGAGACTGAGTCAAGACCAAGACCGGCACCTCGCGCTTCATGACACAATAAAATGTGAAATATGATCAAAATGGCATCTTAAATTGATCTGAAAGGTCCACATTCCCATAAAACACCTAGATGTTAAATACTTAGAGCTGAAATAAATTTAATCAATATCATTATCAATTTAAACTTTTCTTCATTATGCTTTGCTTCCATCTCTGTGCCGCAATCCGCGGAGGTCTTGTGTCATCCCTAACAAGATAACGCCCTGGACGGTTTGCTCATATTGCACATGTCAGAAACCACCACTGTCTGCACCATTAAACATAGCAATTAATGTAATGCCCTAACGGTAAACAATGCTCAACTATGAACACTGACCAAGGAGCAACAAGCAAGAAGTAACCAAGCACAAGGCGCGCACCCTGACTGTTGAGAACAGTCAACACTGTTCTCAACACCCTGACACATGCCTAGCCTCATGTGCGAGGCATGTTGGCACATGAAGCCAGGCAGCGCACAGTGCTGTAATGTCTGCCACCATGACAGGTGACGAAAACAGTTATAGAGCAATGAGCATGCTCTGTGT